AGAAGCTGTTCACATCGTTGCTCGACTTCGACCAGCTCGCAAGAAGGGTTGGGGAGAAGACGAGTTGAAAAACTTACGTTTCACAGCTAAGAAGCTGTTCACATCGTTGCTCGACTTCGACCAGCTCGCAAGAAGGGTTGGGGAGAAGATACACAGGAAACAACAGCAAAATAATTTGAAACACAATTAACACAAGCAAGGAAGAGAAAAACTTATATTAATGAAAAGGAAGCATTACATTATAAATCGTCTCGACCCTTACAAGCCTTGAAAATGGGTCGAGACGAGAAAAACAAAACAAATTGCAAGAGAAAGCAAGCAAAAAAATGGCACAACCCGAAAATAGACAAACACAACTAAGAGTCGCCAGTCGACTTCTCAGCCGTGTCGTCTCCACCTTTCATCCCGACGGACTCGGTTTTATTATCAGCGTCTTCGGCAAGCGGCTCCGTCCCCTGCTCCTCGCTTCCCTCCACCTCCACGACTTCCTCCGCTCGACTAACCCCCTCTGGCCTGACTAATTCGGTCGAACCGACCAGAGGTGTGGTGGGGACCTCGAGCTGAGAACTTAGGCCAGCCTTGCGAATGGCCCAAGCCTCGAGCCCCGTCCACCATGGGTAATTGTCAGGAAGAGACGAGTCGCCTTCGTAGTCCTCGGGGTCGGGAAGCGTCTCCTTAACCGCCTCGCGGTCGAGCATCCCGGCAAAATCAGACCCCTCTACCACCGCCGCCCACGCATCAAAAGCAAAGTCGAAATACTAGACGACAGCAGGGCAAAGCTTATCGAGGAAGGTAGGGGAGTTGCAGAAGGCCTTCACGACCTCTTGGCGATAGGTATCGAGGAAGATGGCGCCCATCGGGGACTTCAGAAAAGTCCTGCGCCCCTCCTCGATGCCGTTCTCCCTCTCGACCATAGCCTCGTCACGCGCCTTGTCGAGGTCGGCCTTGAGCTTGTCGTTCAGGTGCCGAAAAACGGCCTTATCGGCCTTCAACTTGTCAACTAGGGCCTTCGAGGCCTCCAAGTCTTCTTTCAGCGCCTCGATTTCCTGGCGCTGAGCTTCACATTGGTCCTCGAGGGACTTGGTGGAGGCGAGAGGAGCCTTGCTCGTCTCCTCGAAGCACGGGAGCGCGCGGCCAGGAACTGCGAAAGAGCATAAAGAAAAAATGAGATTAGATGGACCAAGTTTAAAAGAAACATACAAAAGCAAAGTCGATTAGAAGATAAGAAGAATACCCGAGAAAGGCACAAGATTGCGTAATTTGAACGCTCGTAGAGGTTCCCCTCGACGCGCTCCTTGTCGACTTCGGGGATAGTGGAGTTGAGGTACTGGGCCACCTGATAAGGCTCGGGGTGGTTCCAGAGGCGAGACGGCATTTTTACCGTCACGTCTTGGATGGTGACCGGGGCTTTGGCGGGCTTCTCGACCTTGCGACGTTTCAGGTCGTCCGGGATCAGGACGACGGCCCGGTCGTCTTGAGCCCTCTTGCGGGAGCTGGAGCCAGATGGTTTGTTTTGGGCGGCACCAGGGTTCTCGACCCTGGATTTCTTCGCAAGACTGCCGCACCAGCGGAACGGGAAGGAGGTGGAACAGAGCCACCCACCGGCTTCTCGGCCGGTTGTTTCTTCAGCTCGAAGCGTTTGAGCGCCTTAACTGAAATACAACAAGGGGAAATTAGCTGTCGGACAAAACAGTTAGCAAATACAATATGAGTAACTAAAACGTGAAGTCTACCCAGCAAGAGAATAGGTAAAAAGCTTACGAGGATCATCGAGACGAGGGAGATCCTCGTAAATGACGATTCGCGCGTGATTGACTAAATCACGGTCCTTGATTAACTGACGAGCACTGTAAGTGTGCTTATTCAGCTCGGACAACAGCTGGGCAAACTCGTCAGAGCGAGGCCGTTTATTCTGCTTCACCTTTGAAGTAATCCAGGTATTTACATAAGGGTACATGCCCGAAGCGGTTCGAATGAAAACAAACTTCGACTTCCACTCGGTAACGTTCGACGAGAGATCGTTGAGAAAGGTAACACCAGCACGACGACCCAAACAGTGGGCGCCTTTGGAAAGCCGATAACCATAACAATAAAAGAAAAAGTCGGGAGAAAAGAAATTGAGAATTATTCGGGAAACGACTATGAAGGCTATCATAATGTGTATGGCGTTAGGAGAAAACTGATTTATGGGTATATTGTACAAGTTGCTTATTAGTATGAGCTCGTCTTGAATAGGAAAGCGAAGGCCAAAGACGATTTGGTCTACAAAGAACGTATGACAGCCGGGGGGAGGATGAGCGAAATCGTCGTTAGGACCGGGGGCGACTAACTCCCAATCTGAGGGAAGCCCACTGAACTTTCTGAAGCCCTCGACTTCGGCTGCAAAGGCATAACAAAATGGATTTAGAACAACTAACCTAGCCAAGGGACAAGCTATCGATACAACATATTGAAAGTCGAGAAGGGGAGCAATTATTGGTACAGATACAGGGCTCGTTCTATATACAGGGATATCTAAGAACCTAAGAGGAATACCTCGAGGAATGATATCGAGACGAGGAAGATTTCCTCGAGGAGGACTTTTCGCGATGTCGACTAAGCCGCCCTCCAAGAGCGCTTGGTCGTGCAGCTCCCAGTCGGCAGAAGAAGCAGTGGCGAGAGGAGGAGAAGAATGGGAAGGCAGTGAAACCATCCTATAGTCGGTTACCTCGACACAATCAGAGCTAGAACCCTCGTCGGCTTGACAAGTATAATCATTGATCTGCTGACCGAGGGAGCCAGAAAGAGGAGACGAGTCGGAAGCTAAGGAAAGAAAAAGGAGGAGAAGGTCGAAGTTAGTAAAATCACGAGTAAGGGCCTACAAGATCGAATCAGAGCGACTCGCAATAATCGACAGAGGAAGAAAGGACAAAGAAGAGGCAATCGCTATCTGTATTTCGACTTAAATAAACCAGTAAGTCGACCTTAGTCGACTCGAGAAGAGAAAAATTGAAGAAAGAAGACCACTAAGTCGACAAGAGCCGACATAGTGACAGGTGAAAGTCGACTGCACATCGGCAGCCGACTACTGATAAAAACAACAAATTCTAACAGAGTATACGCGTAAAGAGATCTAAGTGTGAAACCCATAAGAAATTCATGAAGAATTTGAAGAACATACACGAACTCCGAAAGTTCTGGGAGTCCAGAAAAATCCAGAGAAAGGAAAAAAACCAACAGAAAGTTAAGAAATAAGAGAGAATAGTAAACTTACACATGATGGCCGGATTGAATTCGAAAGAAGTGAAGGTCGCCGAAAACAAATATCGCCGGTGAAGCCGAAAATCGCAGGTCGCCGGAAAGCTTGAAGAAAGTTGAGAGAGAGAGAGAGCAAGAAGTTTTAGAATGCGAAAAGTGGTCTGTGAAGAAATTGAAGTACATTTATATAAGGAAGTGATGGATGTGGATCGTTGGATCATCAAGAGAACCAACGATCCTGATGAGGCACGGATTCGAAGAGACAGCGATGGAGATGACGCGCGTCACTTTAGGGTTTTGAAATTTGAAATTTGAAAGGGGTCCGTCAGAGTGTCAGACTTATCCGAAAGAGCAATCATGAGATTGAGGTGCGCCCTAATTGATTGACGAGACGAGTTGCAAAAAAAGGCCAATACGAACGAGACTGGCAGGAAAGCGACACAAGTATACTTCACCAAATTTACTCTTAAGTAGTCGACTGCTTAGAGTAATTTTTTTTTGGGGGGGCCACATAAGGATAACCCAGTCCAGAAGCTCCTTGCTCAACCAGCGAACCACTTGAACTACTCGCAGTCGACATGACTCCGTCGACATGCCCAAATCGACTTCCCTAAGGTCGATTCTACTAAGAGTAATCGAGAAATTGGCCTAGTCGACTCTTCCAAGTCGACCTTAGTCTATCGACTTTTACTAGTCGACATCAGTAAAAGAAGGGCAACAAGAGTATTAACGCCCGAGCATCCCGATATCCTAAGTCGACTCTCATCAGTCGACTGAACTAAGACGACTTCTCCTCGAAGAATTAGTCAAGAGTAGCCTCCGAATCCACATATATCCACGAGTCGACCTCCTAACTTTCGAAGTCGACCTCGTATACCTCGAATAACAAAGATATGATGACGACTCGTCACACTTGCAACATACTTAAAGTTCTACACATTACAAAGGATAAGAAGGAATCTGGTGATGACTCAGCAACAAGGGGAGACGAATCGACCAGGGCATTTTGGACCTTCTAGGTCCACCGACTTGGGTATTTTGGGCACTTCACGTAAGTATCCACTCCTATATAAAGGAGATGAGGTAACCCTAAACCCTAACTCTGATTCATTCCCACTCTCCCCCATAGCTGCTGCGCAGCCTCTCTTCATCACTCACATACTGACTCGAGCGTCGGAGGCTCTACGCCGGAAACACCTCCGGCGTTGAGTTTTTGCAGGTATTCTCGCGGTCTAGCAACGAATTGGAGGCGGTTCAAGCAGATCTGAGCTCATAACCACCGGTTTACTTCAGATCTGGAAGTAGACTCATCAGAGTAGAAGTTAGACAATGGGCAAGCCTATGATTGAACTTGTTATCGACCAATTTGAGTGCACCCATATCTTTATCTGTATAAGAAAGTGAGTGAGGCACACATATACATTCCCATACTTGAGAGGACGTCATATTGAAGTTTAGCGATCAAGCATGTAGTCGTGTTATGTTCGTATGTGCCATTTGAATGCACATCGTTGAAGTTGAACGTGTTGAGACTTATCTTGTTATCGACTGATGTCCAGTCTCGTTTTTCTTTTGTGTCTTTTCTTTTCTTTTCTTTTTGTTCGGGACGAACAAAAGTCTTAGTGTGGGGGAGTTGTTTGTCCCATTTTTGTGTCTCTATTTCATGTTTATTTTCTCTTTGTTTTTCCCCACTTGTAGGATTTTAGTAGCTTATTTGGTCCATTTCTCTCGTTTTGTGTTTTTGTCTTTAGTTTATATTTTTTTGCTTCGTGTTTTTTCGTGTTTGTGTTTTCAGGAGGTAGGTTGTGACGGTCGAGGTTGGGACTGCTTGAGCCGAAACCGTGATATCGAGAATACCCGTTGCCGAGCCCAGAAGACTAAAGGAAGGACGGAAAAACAGACAGAAAACGCGCCCAGAATTTCTTGCGACTCGCGAAACTGTCGCGACCTGCGGAAAAAACAGAGGGTAAAGGGCAGTACGGAGCACGAGTCACGACTCGCGAGTGATGTCGCGACCAGACCCCATGAATTGAACATCTTGACGACGCGCGACTCGCGACCGAGGAATAGGTGATGTCGCGACTCGTGACTTATCTGCGCAAATTTCGAGGAGCGAGATTTTAACATCAGATTTTGGTCCTAGGGTTCATTATTCACTTCGAGACTTTGTTTTTACGTGTTTTCTCTAGAGAAACTCATTTCTTTTCATACTTTTTCTCTTTTGATTCGATTTGGAGATTGAAAAACTCCTTTTCTCACTTTGGATTTGGATGCACTTGGATTTGACATTGGATTCTTTATATTAATCGTAATTTCCTTTTCTCAATTGCTTTGTTGATGATGATGGCTTGGGTTAATATGAATTGTGATATTAAATTCTTTATGAGTAGCTAAATTCATTCGCTAGGGATAGGGGATGATTGATTAGGTTCGTTATAATTGAATGCTTTTGATTGTTCATATCTATTCGAGTTGCGTGCATTATAGAGTTAGTAGATTGATCACCTTTCTAACCTAGTTAATCAACGTGTAGAACCGAGAGGGGAGACGTTGGTCGATTTAGGCTCGTTTAGAATAGACTTTTTCGTTATGGTATTGTCTATGAGTTGCTGGAATTGATAGTTGATCGTTTACATTCACTCTCTTGTTACGAAGAGTTATTGAGAGTGAACCTCTGAACAAAAAACGATTCAAGTCCTTTAACCGACAATTCACTGCCGGTGATTATGTTAGAACCAGAATCAATTATCCCCGATTCTCTAGCTCTTTGATCATTGAGTGAATTTATTTGCCATTTTACTTTAATTTTGTTTAGCTTAAATCATTAGTTGATAATTGAAACCCAAAAATATTGAATTAGAATGTTTAGGAATTTCTGCTATCTTTTTCGTGATTAAATAAACGCACAAGAGTATCCGGCTAATCTTCCTTGCGATACGACCCGGGGAATGAATCTTTCGATTCTACTCTTGTAAAAATACTGACAACAATAATAGCCATGAGGCCAGCAGCTGGTCTTGCCTTTCATAGGCATAGAATTCTGGATTTAGAACGAGTTCCTCACTTTGATATGATTTGGTAAACTTTGGAGGAATGGACAGAGTGCCATATAAATAACCCTCAAGGCCATAGCTTTTTACAGTAACTAAGATTTGCTGTTTCCATATTAAAAAATTACTGTCAGAGAGCTTTGTTGTGATCATTTGAGATTGTGGTTGAATAACTTGAAGACCCATAGATGAAGATGGGTGAGACAGATGAGTATGGGTGATGGTAAATGGAGTAGAACCTGAAGAATCCTCCATCGAGCAAAACAGCAGACATAACGACTAAGCAAATAAAAAAAGTAGGGTCAGGACGATGATAACTCGTGATACCATGAAAGAATGCAGAAAACCCAAGATAGATTAATAAGCTAAAAGCATAATTTCCATTATCAATAAGAATTCGCAGATCTGTTAGATTGGGAATAAAAGAGCTACAGCCGTTACCTGCATTTAGTTCTAAGAGAAGAATATAAATACTACCTAAGATAAGGTAACTCTAATAGCCATGTGGCACAATCTTAGCCATCCATAAAATGTTCCTTAACTACCCTACAAGAATGAGCTGGAAAAATGCAGTAATAATCTTCTACACATGAACCAATAGACTAATTGAAAATATATAATTCAAACACATGTAAGTTAGAAATTGCGATGTGCCCCATATAAAAGGATATCAAAGCCTAAAATTGGCTGATGAGTAGCCATTTCTATCACCTCATGTCGGGCCTCTCTGTCTCTCTCTCTTCCATATTCTTTTCGTCTCAAACCATACACTATTCTTCAGCCATAAGTAAAAAATTCACCGAGAATTTAGCTGAAGTATATGTTCAATTTGGCGATTCTCTAATGTTTTTCAGAAGGCCACTGAAAAAACACCTGAATTTCTTTTATTCGAGGTTAAAGAGAGATCAAAAAAGCAAAATCGACCTGATTTTACAAAATCGATTTAGTGAGTTGTAGTATTTCGGTTCCAATCGGGCAATGACAGCTCAGATCTATGAAGATCTACATTTTTTTTTAAATTTTAAATTTATTTTGTTTGAAGAAACTAAGTTATGTTTTCTTTAAAAGATTTAAGGTGTTTTTCTCCTCTTACTTTTAAAAGAATTTTGGTCTATTCTTTTATAACCTATATGGATATACGCCGATCTGAGTTGTTTTGTTATAATTTTATAGTGTTTTGCAACATGTTTGTAACGCCCCAAAACAGTAATAATATTCATAACAGTTTCACTGCTCGACTATAAGTGAAATCCGTAATTTTCAAAAATTATCGAGTTATATTATTTATGCTAAATGCTCAAACATGATAAATTATTCCATGAATAATTCTATCTCAAGTATAAGTTAAGATTAATCCATTAATTTGGGTTATTAAATAATAGCAAGTCAATTCGAGAAATTACCGGACACGAACCCTAGTTGTCGTTCCGAATATATTTTCCTAAGTCAAAAAAATTGAGAGTTGATATTTTAATACTTAGAATATTTTTCTAAGTGTGTTAGAATACCAAAGTCGAGATTTGGACATTTTTTATTGAGCCCTAGTGCTCACCCAAGCCGCCCGTGCCGAGCCCCGCACCCGCGCCTCGTGCCGTGCCAAGCACGTGCCTACCGAGCCCAAGGCTTGTCCTAAGCCTTGACATAAGTTCCCTAAAATTTTCTAAGTGTTGGAAGCCTTTCCCAACCCTTGCAACTCAGCCCAAAGTCATTTTCCCCGAGCAGCACCATTTCCCGCGCAGCCCAGCCGCGCCCTCGCGCCCAGCCCGCGTCCCCGCGCCCAGGGCCCAGCGCCCAGTGCCCAGCGCCCAGGCCCAGCGCCCAGCGCGACCAGTCCAGCTTCCAAGGCCCAAAACACCATTTTTCGGCCCACTTTCCTCATGGCCCAACTCAGGCGTGTAATTAGGACCTAATGAGGGTCTAATTAAGCTTAAGTTGCCCTAAGAAATGTTTAAGCAAAGACAATGAACATGGGGATTATAATAATGGTAGTGCATGTGGGCTAGTGAATATTTTAATCACTTGTGCAGCCCTTGTCCCCCCTATTTCGTGCACTTGGGACCAAACCCCATTTGACCTCATTTTTATACACTAAAGGACCTGCCAATCCACCCAAATATTCCATGCAAAGATGCCCCAACACCCTCAAGTTCCTATGCACATAAAATGAGGCAAACTCATGATCTTTGGTCTCCCTTGACCAACATAGTAAGCTCCGTCCTCAATACCTATTTAAGACCCCTCCCTTAGTCCATTTTAAGCTCTTACACAAATTGGAGCTCGAGAAAAATAGTGAGGAGGGAGGAGAAAACCGAGAGCAAAGCTACCAGCCCTGCTGCCCGCGCGCGTCCCGGGGAAGGAGAGAAGGCAGCCACCTCGTGTTCCAGCCATAATCTCTCGAGGCTTAGCATATTCTAAGTATTCTTTAGAATTTTCTAAGCCTTTTAGAGTTGATTGGCTCGAACAAATCACACCACAAAGTGAGCTTAACCTCCAAAGCCGCGACTAGCCCTAGTTTGAGCCCTAACTCGATTTCTCCATTTTTAACCGAGGTAAGCTCGGGATTTTTGATTCCATTAATTATTTAATGACATTTTAAGATTTTTCATGAAGAAAAACCGAGCCATGCATGTCATTATATGTGAGTTACGAATTTTTGAAATAAATGACCTTAAAAATGAAATTCGAGTAGGAAGCATGTCTAAGTCGAGATTTCTTGTTTAAACACCCTCAAATATCATACCATTGATGCTGTAAAAATTTGAGAATAAAATGAGTTCATTGCCTTGGTCAAATCATGCTCGAAAATATGTTAAAATGGGGACCCGAACCCTAGTTCATTGCATGCAATATGTGCCACATGTTTTAGCCTCTATAGTCATGAATTTACATGTATAACATTCGGCCTGAGTAGTTTTTCAAATTATGTATGTTGGTTCGGACGTCAAGTGCTCGTACGGGCCATATAAGCCCTACCGACTGAACATGCAAGTGGACCCGGGGTCCACTAGTGATTTATATGTTAATTGTGCTTATTTTATCATATTATGTTGTATGGTCATGTGCCGGAAATAGTCGCCGGAGGTCCGGCAAGGGCCGACCTTGGTCACTGGCCGCGCACGTAGTGCGGTAGTGCCCGGCCCCAGTGCCTGTCCGTGCCTGCAGAGGGTAGCCTTAGCCAGTGCCCGCGCCCGGTAGGCGCGAGGCACAGCCCGCGTGCACGCAACAGCGCCCGCAGCGCCCAGTGCGTGCCCGTGTGCCAAGCATAAGCCCCAGTAGCCCCAGCACGCGTGGCCATGGCACCCAGCGTGCCCAGCCATGCGCACGGCGCCCGGCAGCGCCCGTGCAAGCCCCAGTGCACGAGGTCTCGTGCCAGAGCCTCGTGCCAAGTCCAGGGCTGACCCGAGCCGGGCCAGCTGAGCCCAGTTGGCCTCGGTGCATGCCCCAGCAGCATGCCCGAGTGCCCAGTGACCTCGGGGACACCCGGCAGCGCCCGTGTGGTCTCTGTCCGTGCCTTCCCCGTGCCAGCAGTGTCTGGCCAGTGCCTGTCCGTGCCCAGCCGCACGACAGCGCCTCAGTCGAGCCTCGGCCGTGCCCAGCACGCACCCGAGGGGCACCAGTCGTGCCCGGGCCGTGCCAGCAGCCCCTGGCCGTGCCCACCAGCGCCAGTCCGCGCCAAGCCATGTCCAGCGGCCCCAGGGACCGAGCCCGGTCGCACCAGCCGTGCCCAGCGCCGTGCCCGGGCACCAGCTGGCCCGGCACGGGACCGAGCCCGGTCTAGCCGAACCCAGCCCGACCGCCCGGCCCAGTCGAGCCGGCGGTCCGGCCAGCCAGCGAACCGGCCGGTTCGACCGGCGGTTCGAGTCAGTTGTGATTCGTAATTTCTGATCCGAGTCCAGTACCGGAAATTTCAGTATTTTTTCGAGCCAGTCCAGTCCAGTTTAATCGCGTAGATAAGTCCAAGCATTTTAGCATATAATTAAATATTCTGAGCATTATACTTAGCATTATTTTGCTTAAATATTTATGTAGCCTAAGGAGAGTCGAGCCTCCGACCGCTACTCCAGCTTCCGCACTTGCATACCAGATTTCAAGTTTTTCAGGTGGGGGTCATGTACTGGATGTCACATCATAGATAATATCTGTACCATGGCAGAGGTATGTTTGAGACAGTTTAGTTCCGGGTTGGGTGGCCGAGGCCTTGATACCCACCTGATGACCGTTGGGAGGGGCGAGGCCCTTTATACCCAATCGGCGTGTGCACACGAGCGGCCCGAGGGTCTTTTGACCACAGATCAGAACAGACATCAGAGATCAGTTTACAGTTTCAGCTCTTATATATTTATGTTTCATGATACGTTATTATAGATGATGTTTTGTTCAGTACTGGTCTTTGCGGAGCATAGTGGTTTGCTCACGCCCCCATTATGTTTTTCAGGAGGCGGAGTCGAGCGTGTCGGATGAGCACAGATGTGGTGCAGCGTGGTCATGAGAGTCGGACATATTTTACCAGCATTTTTATGTCCTAGATTTATGACCATGTGTATTTTATTCAGTTTATGTACGCATGTTATGTATTCGTATTTCGGATGCTTCCGCCAGCGAGTTTTTCTAGACAGTGCGAGACAGTACAGACTATGCATGTATAATTCCATAATCCGCGAGCGGACAGTCTGGTTGCATGTTTTTATTATGTCTGTGGGCAAGCCCGAGTTCAGTTTAAGTTTTTATCTGCCACATCCTGCAATAAGTCCGTATTTTCGAAAACCCAGCTTGCACGTTCTTTCGAAAATAAAAACGAAAATTTTACTCTGATTTTTCAAAGCTAGTAGTAAGGCGGGGTGTGACAGAAGGTGGTATCAGAGCGCAGATTTGCGTTTCGGTATACTTTCAAAGTTTAGAAAAGCATGACCACGCCACGCTCATCCGCGCCGACTCCGAGGTAAGTCACCTGACTCAGTTTAAGTTTTGCAAGTGCTAAATTCAGTTCAAGTATGGGGCCTAGATAACTATCCTCCTATAAGAAAATAAAGAACTCTAGATGGAGAACTCTAGAAAGATAAGCTAATGACAAGAACTCTAGACAGAACTCTAGAACAGCTAAGTCCAAGGACTCTAGACTAAGTCAGAACTCCATTACGAGCCAGAACATAGAAAGTTTAAGTATACTGGAACTCTAGCCAAGCTAGGTGTTTTCGGATATTATTTCTTTATTATTTCAAGAGTAGTATGGCTATTTCTTAATCGGCTATACTAATCAATTCAAGCGTTTCCCGAATTTCAGAATGCCGCCCCACAGAGATCCCCAGGCACCAGTTGAGCAGGACCAGGCTGTTGTGGTCAGCCGATTCCGTACCTATGATCCGCCCCGTTTCACTGGGGAGAGTGGCCCGTTAGCCGTGGCCGAGTGGATCCGGAAGATGGAGAGGATCTTTCGTATTATGGAGATTCCTGAGGCGCACAAGATGGCGTGCGCCGAACTGCAGATAGAGGGAGCCGCTGGAGACTGGTGGGAGGATTACTGGCGTCTACGCACGGAGGATGAGCGTGACGCTATGAGATGGGCTCAGTTTAAGACGATACTAGAGGACAAGTTCTATCCTCGCCATTTCAAGCAAAGAATGGCACGGGAGTTTGCCGCTCTCCAGCAGGGTGAGCGTTCAGTGGACGAGTACGAGCGCGAGTTCGCTCGTAAGAGTGCCTTTGCTTCGCATCTTGTTGATACGGAGGAGAAGAAGGCAGCACAGTT